TCAAACCCACCCTCCCACCATCCATCCACGAACTTCCCTACCTATCCATCGTCTATCTGTGATTCTATGCAGGAAGCGAGAGAATCCTAGACTGGGTAACTAGGTACAAAAATCTTCCATTTTATTTTATTTCATTTTATCTCATTTCATTTCACGTCATTCATTTTTTGTCTACTTTCCTATTAGCTCTCTCACCATCACTATCACTATCACTACCACTAGCATCATCATCACCATTAAAAAAAAGCATCCATAAAATCCCAAACATCATAGAAAATAAATCAACCATATCAAAAATCCCCACAAGAAATTGCAATTACCGTGCGAAATACAAGTCCGTACCATTCATTAATCAGCACTCAAATAGTTACTAGGTACTTCGATATCCAATACCCGGCAGTTTTTAGGGGCTACGCACGTACCCATCTTTCGTCATGAAATACACTTAGCATGTAATATGAGTACTAAGTATGTATTTGTTTTGTACGTCAGACTGACCTGATGTAGATTGTACATTTCATTCATTTCATTACTCGAGTGCTCGGATACAAATCTTTTGTATGGGTATCCAATACCAATCAATGACTTCACTCATTTCATTTCATGTGGCAAAATTGCCATATATACAATTCTTTATTTATTTATTCATTATTACACTTCTTCTTCTGCTTCCTCTTCTTCCCCAATGGTATCGGTAGTAATGGTATCTAATGAGCGCCCTTTCCCCATATTCCTATTTACGTTTCATGCTTCATGCATGCTTCATGCTTCCTCCCATGATATTGATATATACAAGCCCAATCATGGCAATCCAAAGTTCGCTTCGTAACTCGTTTGTCATCCATCTGCAGACTGATCCCATCCACCACCTTTCGTATCATACAATTTCGTCAATTCTTGTTCATGTCGTTTTGTCTCGTTGGACTGCTTGCTTCATGTCCTTGGGAGATGTACTCCTGGGGTATGTGAATGGAGGATCTCATCTCGTTTATTCTCCTCTTGTGGCCACTTCCTCAATCACTGCCATCATTTAAAAGTATTCCCTCTCTTCCACAATGGGAGTCATCCTCCTGAACTCTTCACCCCTCTCCCTTTCCAACACCAAAAGTGGTCTGAACCCCTCCCTCTCCACCACCTTCACCTTCTCCCCTCTCTCTACATCCCCCCTCTCTCTTTCTCTATCCCCCGTCTCCCTTTCCCATTCTCCATCATTCCCCATTTCCTCATTCACAAACAAGCCCCTCGCATAATCCCTCACACAAAGCGCGCCCAGAACCTGTAATCCCATAGCTGCCATAACCCCCGCAATCAACGTGATATATCCCAGCGTAATAATCTTCTTACATCCACCCTCGGTCCATCCATCATCTCCTCCTGTCCTCCCCACAAAATCCGCAAAAGATGCAATGTGCGATGATGCGGGGATACTGGTCGAGATAGTGTAGGAAGCGAGACTTATTTCCTGCGCATTTTGCGATAGCGCGGGAGGTTGAGTGACGGTGGAGAAATCGAGAGAGGTGGTTGACGAGGGGGTGCAGAGGATAGAAGAGGAGTTGGAGAGGAGGGTTAGGAGGAGGAGACGGGGGATTGCGCTGAGGAGTGTATCGAGGAGGAGATAGTTTGAGAAACACAGAATGGAGAGGGAGTGTTTCTAAGGGGGCTGTTAGTACTTTGTTCTCTCTAAATAGTCGTTGTATTTATCCAGTGATATCGATATCGATTCTCGAAATTCAAAAAACAATGAAGAGAACTTCAGGCCTGGGATAAGAAAAAAAGAAATATACATACCCTCAAAGCCCCAATAACTCCAAAGACACTCATCACATTTGCAAAATGTAGGTACAATCCATAGTTAACCGCGAGGTGAAACGGCTCGTCAGGGAGTTGGTGGAAGAAGATAGAAGAGAGAGTGTTGGATGTTAGGGAGAGGAAGGCGATTAGGAGGGTCGTGGAGCGGGACGAGGTGTGTGAGCTTCTGTGTGGTGTTAGATAGGCGTGGGGGGAGATTGTGAGGGAGGAAGGGGAGGTGTGGATGGATTAGAGTAGATGAAATAAGGAAGAGAGAGGAAAAGATCATCCATACCTTGATAGTAATCGTGTCATTGCTGGTGTATGTGTACAAATCGATCAACACAGTAAGTAAAATAAAAATATGGTGTAAAACGACGAATATCCCAAAATCGATATCCCCAATACCGGATTCCCAATGCGGAGTCAAGTCCGATTGTAATGTCAATCCTAATTCAAAATTCGATGTCGATATCGATATCAATCCCAATACACTCCAGAAAAAGTTTCGAATAGAAGAATGTGAATGGATATAAAGGGAATCCTAATCCCAATTCGATCGCCAAAGAAGTTCACTTTGGTGGCAAGTAGTAGTATCCGTAGTTGTAGAAAATGAACGTATATACGTATGTAGCTCAGTATATATACCTATGTATCTCCCCACATACACAACAAAGAACAGCTAGGCATGCAAAGCAATCCTCACACCTTTTTCTCCAGGTAGAGGATTGAAAAATGAAAAGATAGAATCCGTTTTCACACAAGCTGGCGCTTTTCTTTTCTTCCTCGAACTTGATCTCGCCTTGATTCGGTACTTGGATGTGATATGCTAGATAGGTATGTAATGAGGAGGGAGATAAAGCGGATATAAGAATATTGCGATTGCTCAGAGAGATCCTTAGGATAATTTATTTTATGTATAAGTTATATTTCTTGTATGTATGTTTGTATGTTTGTATGTTTGTATGTACGTATGTATTTAATTTGGTATTCAATTTGATGATGCCGATGAAGAAACTGATAAAATGGTAGAATTCGTAGCAAGTAGGTAAGCAGATAAGTAAGGAAATAATTTTCTTTCTCTGTCTTTCCCTGTCTTTCTCTGCTTTTTAAGAGATGAGGTATGCTCGATTGACTGTCTGCTTTGAAATAAATGAATGGGTTGGAAATGGAGAAATGAACAAAAGTGACAATTCCGTGGATTCCGAGAGCGAGAGAGCAGCTGTGGGAGGGAGGGGTTGGAGTCGGGATGGACGGATACCGGTTGGGTTGGTAGCCGGGCTGGGAATGTGTTGTTAGGTATAGACCTAGTAGATTGGTGCTAGGATATCTGCGGTTGTGCGGGTTTTGCTTGGCAGAGAGTTTGAGAAAGATGATTGAGAGATGATGAGATAGATGATGATGGAGTGAGAGTAAACAATGAGGTAGATGAGGACACGGAAATAAATATATAGATATATATACGTGGTGATTGTGTGTAAGTATTGATGGATCAATCTTCGTGTGCACGTACGATACGACACGATGGATGTTGATTTCTAATTGTGTGTGCATTAAGTTCTCAAACCTTAATTCGAATTTCCAATGACGTTCTTCATTCAGTCCTAGAGGCAAAGACGGGAGGAGATGCATACAATCTATCTAGATCTCAAGTAAATATCCGGGAGCGAATGCCGATTGGATGTTAGGAGGCTGTTCTAGACAGGCACTAGAGGATGGGTACTAGATGTTTCGAGGGTTAGAGTGTCAAGAATTTCCTGCTTGAGGATTTTTGTTTGGTACAAAGGGCCTTTTAGGGACGAGATGGATGAAAGAGAAAGAGAAGGATGGAAAATGCGGAAGGGCCGGGTAGAGGTTAGAGGTTTTAGTTCGGAGTTTAGAAATTTGTGAAAAGATGATTAGATCACTCACTTAACTGAGTCAAGGCAAGGTTAAGTGGGTTGGTGCTTTTTGGGAATAACTTTATGAGCTTATGTCGGGTCTGAGTCTTTCGGCGTGTGGAAAAGGAAAAGGGAACAAACATCCATCCAATAGGCTTGATTGTATAAGGAATATATAAGATTGAATCAAGATCAAAGAAACGGGTGTGTTGGAACAAAGCTGCTGTCTTCAATTGTCACGGGCGCAAAGAGTTCCAGACCAAAGTTGGTGCTTTGTTGTACGAGTCCTGTGTACAGGTAGGATAGATGAGGTAGTTGGGCTCCGCAATTAAGGCGGAAGAGTAGGCTGGCTGGCCCCATATGTGTACAAAGTATTGAGCTGATGGATTTAAGCGGCTTCTAGACAATTCAAGGCGCGATGCGTAAGGGAAGATGTTACCTCATTGTCTGGATGCCAAGGGCCATCGGGCGTATAGATCGAGATGTAAGTATTTCTTTTGGGATGAGAATATGGAGTAAAAATTGGTTGGTGGAGAAGAAATCGTGATCGAGATACGTACCAAAAAAGTTGATTAGTGAGCGTGAGCATAAGCAGTGAGGAAAGAAAAAATCAAGAATGCCCTGACAAATTGCCAAGAAGATGACTTCATGATTTGGAGGTTTGGCAGACTGTTTTGACTGTACCCTGGTATTATTCCATAAGTGGTACGATATAAGGCGGAATGAGATAGAGTGGATGAGTGGATGAATCACGTCTTTGTCTCCTTGACAAGGAAAAAGACGAAGAGAGGAGGGGAGAGATTGAGAGCGAGCCATGGTATGGTATGGTGATGTATGGCATGGAACACTCGAAAGATGATAAAGAAGGAGTTGAGTTATCTGAGTCAACATAAAGTAATCCTAATAACAAGGTAGTAAAGACTGGTCTCTGAAAGGTTGTAGGTTAGTATCAATACAATTTTGAGTGACCATGTTGAGTTCACATCATTAAGAAGTCTCCGGTAAATATATTGAATCATGCTTCCCTACATTAGCATATGTCGGCACTTCAAGGTTGGCTATGGATATGGATATGGATATGGATATGGATATGGATATGGATGTGGATGTGGATGTGGATGTGGATGTGGATGCATTTGCAATTGTCAAGAAACCAAAAAGGGATCGGTCGGGAAAAAACAAGTTCATTGCCGCGGAAGATCCCTAAGATTCTTCAACCCCCAAAACTCAAAACACGACAGAACCTCAAGGTCTTCCAAGCTTGTTAATAATCCCTTCTCCCTTGACGGCTGTGGCGTAACATGAATTCTTCTCGACACCTCAGCGGTTAACTCAATAAGCAGAGCTGATGAAATTACCGAATGCAGGGAGGATATTTGTCACTGTCACTAACACCGGTATCCAAATGAAAAGAATAAATGAAGAATGTATCAATATAATTCGTATATGGGAGAAAATGTGGAAAAAAGGTAATTGTCTGCCGCCTTTCCCCAGATTTCTCTTCCTCTTTCTTGGACTTGATGGATCGGTTGGTTGAATGTGAATAGTATGAAAGGATGCATTGTTGATTCATTATAATTGATAACTGAAAGAAAGGAACCATGAATATACCCTGGGAAGACGTCGGGGATTTGATCAATCGTATATCGGAAGGATTCTGGAATCAGAGATTCAAGGAGATTAAATGTGAACGGAGAGCAACAGGAGGACCCTGATGAACCCCTCAATTAATCGGAAATACATCTTGGTAGGATCTTCTGAGACTTGGAAAGAAATACTTCTTGTTCCTTTTTCGTTTCCAGATTTAGAGAATGGTACTGGGGTAGGTAGAGAGGGTAGGTATGTACTTGAGGGAGGATACTGTTCAAGGCACACACATCGTCTACCTGCTAATCAACCTGATTCCCATGTTTCTCATGTTTCTCTTTGTCTTTGTCTTTGACTTTGGATTATTCCAGAATTCTTTGCCAAGGTTAACAAGGTTTGATCTCGGATTTAAGGGGTAAGTAACCCATTTTGATATTGATATTGATATTGATTGATATTGATTGATATTGAGGTTTGGCTATTCCTACCGGCTTCGTAGAATGATGCGATGTTATTAATGATCCTGGAAATGTAATGAATCACTACAAGTACCTTGATAGTTATAATTTATGGATAGATATATATCCATCAATGAAATGATTACTTGGGAGAAACATAGACCAATAAATTGAATCGAGAAATCGGGATGTCGAAGAAAGGTTCAAAGACTAGACTGTAGAAAGGTCGATGCTTGAACCCCTTCGTCTCAGAAATAAGGAATTTGACTCTGATGTATTAAGGATTGTGGTTGAGCCCTGCAAGCGGGGTTCTTTTTAGAATGAACGATTCGAGAAGGAAACAAAACGTCTTGGACTTGGGACTGACTAGCTTAGTGCATAAAAGCTTGAACACTTCGTAGCCTTACTTTACATATCTAGCCAGATACATAGATTTGTTCAGGCCGTGTTCGTATTATGTATGGGATTCTTTGATTCTTTCCATGTTTTCCTTCCACTGACTAACCATGCTTCGTAGCTTCACTCTGGCCTTCTTTTCTGGTAAGCTGTAACTTTCCCCCTCTCACCTGTCAGATTGGCGATTGCTTGGAGAGAAGAGTAAAGTATGGTATGAGTATCCCGAAGATTGCCATCTAACTTGCAAGTACGTACCCAAACAGGCACTGGCTCACTGCACTACACCGGACTAGGACCTACAACTGTCCCGTTATGCAATCCACTCACACACTGTATGCACATGGATAACTAGTACGAGGTACCACGGTCACGTCGAGATTCTCCACGATGGGGAATTGTGATGGAGCTTGTTGATACAGGAGCTGAATACACACTCGCCCCTCAAAGGAATGAGACTCTCTCCAGGGCTGAAACTTACACAATTGAGTGACCAACCAACTCGTTATTCATGATCATTTTCTTCCAATTACTTGGCTTCCTTGGTATGTGCTCTATGAACATATATATTGTACCAGCGAAGAGGAAACCGTGGGAGAGCTGGAAACTTCTTTATACCCACGTCTAAATATGCGGAGATATTTCATGCTAGACTGGGGATTTGTGATGCAATTTGGGTGGGCACACACTAACTATCTATATTAATATTAAGGTCACACAGTCACACTCGGTGTTACATGGAATGCGAATGGCTAGATGGTTAGATGGTTAGGCAAAAGGAATAGGCTCACAAAGGAAATGGACTTATATTTTCCGAAGTTGTGACTGGCACGAGGGATATAACAAAAAAGTAAAGTTTGAATAGTTGGGACCAGAGGAGAGTCGAGAGGACTTGGCCATTGTTATTGCTCGTATCATATATACATACATATGGAGTTCTCCAGGTTCTCTCATAGGTACGGCCAGTACATGGAATTGGAGGAGGTAGATCTTCGCATGTTGTGTTATGAACAAATTTAACTTTACCAGGAGTCAAGTAGTTTGTTTTATGAGTAGATCCTAAAATACCTACCTACGATGTACTTTTGAGATGCTCGTACGAGTAACAGGTACTAGGTGGGTAGGTAATTGAGTAATCTAAAAACCGCCCGTATGATGGGAGAAGGAGTGAGTGCAGAGTGAAGAGTGAAGAGTGAAATGAATGGAGGATTGTATGTGTGAATGAATATGTGAACATATGGATGAATACATGAATAAAAAATAGGTACAATCTCTTTTCTTCCATTCCCTCCCATGCTATGAATAACTACTTTATAAAATGGTCTTGATATTCAATTCTTCGATTCTTCAATTTTCCAGTTCTCCAATTATAATTTCTATTTATGAAGTCAATGTCAATATCAATACCATACCGTTCGAACTAGTACGTACCTACACACATCTACCGACCTACCTATACCTACCTAGCTGGAGGGTAGTTACGAATCATATCATATGGAACCATTGAGATAGGAGAATATTGAATGAAAATAAGGGAAAGTGCAATTCGCATCTTTGAAGCAGCAATTCTTTTAAGCAGCAATTTACCTCCTTATTAACTTCTCCTTCTTGATTACTCCCTACGTCTGACGTCCTACTTCTTACCTCTTACCTCTTACCTCTCACCTCTCACACCTCTCACCTCTCACCTCACCCTGTTGTTGCTTTGCTGGGACTACAACCATGCTTAGCGTTCCTTTTTAAATCGAGGAAAGTCCAATACTCACGTTCCTACCACACACGCCCCCGAGAAAGTGCTGCTTTACTCCGTACATCTATTAATTACTACGACTCACTATAGTAAAGTAATAAAGTACAGACAGTATCAAGTACCTAGTACACCACCTAGTACACTCTATTGTATGAAAGTGCGTAGAAGTGTGATACAACTTTGGAAGAACAAAGCAAAGCCCTCCCAAAATAAATCTTTTTCCCTTTCCCTTTCCCTTTCCCCTTCAATTCTCTTTCTACCAACCAGATTCCTACTTTTCCCTCTCATTGAAGAAAAACAATTGATCAATTTCATTCTCTTGTCATAATTAAAAAGACCACGGAGGAATAATTCTTCTCTTATGTTTATGTTCACATAGCACAGCGGAAACCCGTAAAAGATACCCTCGATTTTTCCAAAGCAACGAGTTCCCTTTTTTCTCCACTCTTCAATTTCGATACGAATTTCTATGGTCCGGAATTAAAAAAATAGCGAGGGACCAATACATAGAACCACACTCACAACTCAATATCAGAAGGGGGCAATCTCGAAAGAAGGAAAATCAACCTCCGACAACCTCTCCTTCTTTGAATCCACGAATTACGACCACAACCACGACGTTTGTTTACGGAGCACAATTACTTATACTTCCTATATTGGGGAGACTCTTTTTATTCTCTTTCTTTTTTCATAGTTGCGTGGCTACCTCCATCGTCTTTACTCTTACCCCAAGATCATCCGTTTGTCTTTGCTTCGATTACCCCGTCTGTCGTTTAGAGTCGAGACATTCTCAACACATCGTCAAGAAGAACGACAATCCCTCGCCCACAACAGAAGGAATTTATAAGTTTGATGGAGGGCCAGCCTTCTACAGGTAATTCTAAATATCAATATCAATCTGCACAGTGGTCGCGACTCGTGCGGCGTAATACCCACGCCGATTCAAATTCCAGCTCCTCGCCGAGTGTTCCTGGTTTCCCTCAGCTTCCAACCCAATTCATTCCCATTTTACTTCCCCAACAGCCCTCATTTCACCAACAACAACTTGAACAGTACAACAAGCTCATTTCTTCAGGCGGAAACACTAGACTGCAAACTGCACCACTTCCCCCACTACTTTCAGCACAACATATTCAGGCTGTGCCCGGACAAAGATCCAGCTCAAGTGGCGTCACCACAGAACGGAAACCAAAACCTGCTGCGAGGGGCGGTCATGGGAATAGGGACGTACGAAAATTCAATAAAAGCGAGCGCGCGCTCATAACAGAGAAGGAGACATCAACAGCGATGCCGGGCAAGAAATTTGAGTTAACAGCTCAACTCCCCCCACGACCAGTTGCACAACATCAAAATTCCACAATGTCTCGAGAATCGAATTCCGTCCCATCTACACCACATCAACATCCGAGGAAGTTCTCTTTCGACGAGTCGAGAGAACCTTCACCGAATGCCCCTGGCAGCCATTCCCCTAGATCGGCATATTCCGAATCAAATATAACTCTACCTTCGAGACCACCTCCTGCCCAGCGCAGAGGATGTCAATACGAAACGGCTATGGCCTCCATAAGGCGGCGCATGCCTTATAGTCTTGGGGCTGATCGATTGGAGCAATCGAAGGATTCTGATGTGAAAAGCAAATTGTCAGATGAAGAAGAGAGAAAGTTGTCCACAGATATGCGCGAGTTATATGATCGTTTACTGCCCACGGCGGAGACCGACGAGAGAAGGAGGAAGTTAGTGTCGAAGCTGGAAGATATGTTCAACAAAGAATGGCCTGGGCACGATATACGGGTTTATGTTTTCGGTTCATCAGGCAATTTGCTCTGTACTGATGCGTCAGATGGTAAGTTGAGCAGATGCTAATGTCTCAAAACTCTACTGATAATTTTAGTTGATATTTGCATAACGACCGACTGGAAGGTGATGGAGGGTGTATGCATGATTGCAGAATTACTCGCAAAGAGTGAGTATCCTGAGCCCAGCCAACGACAACATGACTGACGTTCTTTAGATGGTATGCAAAAGGTAATTTGTGTATCGACTGCTAAGGTTCCAATCGTCAAGATATTTGATCCGGAGCTTGAGCTGCCTTGCGATATGAATGTCAACAACACCCAGGCTCTAGAGAATACTCGAATGATAAAAACGTACATTGAGATTGATCCCCGTGTGAGGCCCTTGGCTATGATAATTAAGCATTGGACAAAGTCAAGGGCGATCAATGATGCTGGTGAGAATAGGGAACCCCTTGGCATGACGGTATTCGCTCACATTTTATAGTTGGTGGCACATTGAGCTCATATACATGGATATGCATGATCATCAATTTTCTACAAAGTCGGGAGCCTCCTGTGCTACCATCACTACATCAACGACCTCACCTTAAGTTACCAACGAAGGAAGGGGGCGAAAGCAGCTTCGCCGATGATATTGACACTCTGAGGGGGTTTGGTCAGAAGAACAAATCAACCTTGGGTGAACTTTTGTTCCAATTTTTTCGATTTTACGGGCACGAATTCGATTATGACAAGCAGGTAGTTTCGGTCCGAATGGGAAAGCAAATCTCGAAGCAGGAGAAGAAATGGTCGATAGCAACAAACAACATGTTGTGCGTGGAAGAACCTTTTAATACTGAACGGAATCTTGGAAATACCGCTGATGATTTCTCCTTCCGTGGACTGCACTTGGAAATGAGGAGGGCGTTCGAGCTGATATCTGGCGGCAAACTGGATGAGTGTTGTGAAGAATATATATTCCCAAAAGAGCAGGAGCGAGTTTGGGAAAAGCCACCCCCGTCTAAGAAGCCAACATTGACTGCTAGTCATCCCCCGCACAGAAATGGCAGAGGAGGTCACCGTGGCGGTCGTAACAACCATTCTAATCGCAACTCGTCAAATGGCAGCCGCAAATCCTCAAATAGCAATTACGATAACCACATGTACCCACAGCATGGGATACCGTCGAATATTTCTACACAAGATCAATGGGCTGCCCAGCAACAAGCGCAATCACAGTTGCACAACCATCTCTACGCCACGTATTCGGTCTTACAGGCACAAGAAAATACTTTAAGAATGCAATTGGTCCAACAAACGTACATGGAACAGGCTCACGCTCAGGCTCAGGCTCAGGCTCAGGCTCAAGCATATGCACAGTCTCATGGTCGCATACAAGTTGGTGGCATGCCAATCAAGCAACAAGCCACAGATCGAAATCGAACCCCTTCTTTCGATCAAGGGCCATTAACAGCACCTATACGGCCAGACGGTATGTATTTCTATCCTCTGCAATACGCTGGGCAACCGATGTATGCATACCCAACCTCGAACACGAATCCCTCGTCGCCCCAATTAAGTGCCGTTGTCCCAGAGATGAGGAGAGGTGTTCATCGGTCCACTGTTACAAATGGCTCGAGTTCCAACATGGTTCAATCGAATGGGTCTATTAGATCACATTCACAACCCGGGACTCGTACTGCTCCTTCGCCTCTCTTATTGCAAGGAAACGGGCATTCTGCTCATGGTACCAATGGAATTGGGGCATACCAACCTTTGCGACCACAGGGCAACGGTGTTCCCATCCCAAATTTTATTCCAGACGAGTCCACGGAGCAAGGATATGAGTCGAGGCGAACAGCCACTACTCCACCAGAGCTTAGTACGCCAAAGGAGTATGTTGGATATTACGTCAATGAGCCAACTCAACCTTATACTCGCAGAGATTTGCCTTTGGCGATACCTTCGTTTGGAGACATTTCTGGAAATAGACGACGGTTATCAACCGACCAACTGCCGCAATCTATTCGTGACAGGATTAAGCGTAATCCTTCTCGGTCGCCGTCTCCACTGGGTAATGACAGACGCTTCTCGTTGGCTCAATCTGCTCCAGCTCAACATGCGATGTCCAGTTCCAATCTTCGTACCCTGCACACCAATGGACCATTGGTAGTGAACGGTTCTTCTGCTGTGATAGGCTCTAATCCTGTTTCGATAAATGAGGGGCCAGTCTTTGAGAATAAGATTTCCCACGCGAGAGGATCTGTTGGATCAATATCCCAAGCGTCTCTTACTGAGAGTGATATCTCATTGGGGGAAGACTTTTCTGGGCAACGCACCCCTAAATTTACACGAAGGAGTCTAAGCGAGGTTTCTCCTTTGATTGCTAATGGATCTAGTCCTAACCCAACTCCACCAAACGGCTCTAATGGCCATCAATCAATCGCAAACGGATTGACATCTGCAGAGGGCCTTAATGGGTATTCACGGTTGTCTCCTAATTCAAGGAATGTAGTTACCCGCAATATTCCGAATGGCGGCATCCCCCTCCTCAACATTGCGAGTGGTCATAACGACATCCTTTCAAATGAGTTGTCACATCTTTCACCCGTATACGAAACGCACACGCCCTCACCAACGGTCATTAAAAAACTTGAGAATCTGAAGTTGAATGGACCTGCGGTCATTGAGAAGAATAAAATTGACCATTCAAGGCCAATCCCAAAACAACCAGTAGCAATTGAGCAGCCGGTCAAGCAACCTCCATCTAATTTGAAACAAAATGGACATACTAGATCTGCTAAGAGCGAGGGTGGCGGAGCTGGAGTATCTTCTGGAAAATGGCAACAAACTCATCGTAAAAAGGGGCGTACTCCTACTGAGGCTAAGAATGCTAATGGTGGTCATTCGCATGGCGAAAAACTCCCCGTCAACGAAAGCGAACGTAAGGGTGGGTAAATTGTTGGTAGCTTGAGATAAAGGTCTACTTGATCAGGTGAAGGTCAAGCTGAGAGTCGCTCAAACGATCAATAGGTGCTCGACGTTCCAGTGGCAGGCTTCTCGCAACTAATTGTGGACGTATTATAAGGCGAGCGGCTTACCTTGCGCATCTTGAATGGAGTAAAAGATTGCACACATCTGCATACGAATATGCGATGTTTGCAACAAAAAGTGGAGGACAGGTCGAAGGGAAAGTTTGTTTGCATATCAGATCTCCTTGGCTATCATCAAATAAGCGTGTTTTACGACTATTATAGATTTCCTCTCCATGTCTGTCGACACATGGTCAACTAATGGAGGCGAAAAGAAGAAAAATTAAAAGAGAGTTTCTCGAAAACTCATTCATTCAGATGAATACTTTGTTATGGTTTTCTATCTATGCATTTGCAAAGCGATATGGTTCTGGGTTCCGGTCCGGGCGACTTTTTCTGGTTTGGGATTGTTTTCGATTCTTTCTATGCTTTTCGATTTTAAGTTTTGCTATTGTTTTGGTAAGAGGGTTCATAAACTTGCACAATGGGTTTCGACTGGTCGGGTTTGTTCTTTGATATACAATTGGCATGCATACACATAGGGAAAGCTCAAAAATGCGATACTTCATGCAAAGTACTTGTTTTGGTGGCGCGAGGCGACGTGGGGGTGGTCGGTCAGCAAGGCATTAAGCGGGAGTGGGATTCGTGGATTTGTTTTTGTTTTTGTTTTTTAAGTCATTCGGATTGCGTGGGATAGTATGAATGGATGGTAAATGAGACCAGCGAGGAAAGGGAAGCAGCGTATGATAAGGAAGAAACGGAATGGTCTCGTGTGTATGTTTATAGTATGGATGTGCAAGAGCTGAGCGAGCATAGCAAGCGATGAATATGAGAGCGTGGATGAGGAAATTCCCTACTGGGTAGAGGATTATACATACCCAGTGAATGTGCGGAGCAGAGCGATTACTGACGCAGCAAGCGATGCACAGAGGAAGATACATGAAATGAAATGAAAGAGTAAAAAAATTGTCAAAATGAAACGTTTGAATAGATGAGTGGGTGACTTGCGAATGTGAGTGTGAATCGCTGAATAGAACTCTTGTCAATCATTAGGACAGTGGTGGAAGTGATTGGCATCTTATCTATTGTTTTTCAGAGTTAGAAGTCTTCCTTGATGTAGTGGAATTTATTCATCTATTTCTTATTTCATTCGTTCCCACGTGTGATCAATTGGTGAATGCTCCTTTGATCGGAAGAAAGATCACTAGTTGTCTAACAATGTGGTATTTGTGAATAGCGCTTCTGAATTAGTGATTTATAGCTGTGACTGATTCAACACTAAGTAATCTGTTAATTTGTCGCGCGGGAGCATCGGCTCGGGATGTGTTGTGATGTATGATGTGTGAGTAACTATTGAATAAGGGAGTGTAACTGTACATAGCGTTTCGAGTTTGTGGAGCACAGAAGAAGATGGATGTATCTGAAACGAGTTTTTTTGAACGGAAGTTGATAGGTCGGCTGGCTGGCTGTTTTGGGGACTGGCATTTGCGGATGAAGATGGTCTCTGTGATGGTGATGGGAATTAAAGGGGGGGACGGTTGGTGGCTCGTGGATGGATGGGGCTTTGTTTGTGTTCTTTTATGATGGGTGTTAGTGTGGTGGATGCTTTGGGAGGTATTGTAGGATTAGTGTTTGTTTTGTTGTGTTGCTGGGTGAGGGGTGAGTTTATATACATTTGTTGAGTTTTAGTTTGGAAGATGGGGAGTTGGTTTGGAGATGGAGATGGAGATGGAGATGGAGATGGAGATGGAGATGGAGATGGAGATGGAGATGGAGATGGAGAGAAGTGGTTTTTGATGTTGGTTCTTGAGGGAGTTTGGGTGTGTTTGGTAGGGGATTGATTGTATTGTTTGGAAGGGAAAGCTTGAGGGGGGTGGTAGGAGTTCACGATGAGATTAAGCGATATATTTGGAAGTTGGAATGGAAAAGGAGGGGGGAGGTGAAGAGAGTTATGGATTGGACTGCTGGATGGGTGTTTGGGTGTTTGGGGTGGGACGTCCTGTGCAAGTAGCGGTACAAGTTGGTCATGATCAATAGCTAAGGATGAGGTTCAAGTAGAGCTGATGGAGTAACAACGTTATTGGCTAGTACAGTTCTGAGGCTCACTAACTCCAAATTACCGGATATGCATTTGAATAATATCCATATAAACCAACTACTAGTATATGATACATTCGAGTTCTTCAACACCGATATAGAAATGCAATAAAACTGCAGCTTAGGTTCTTCTCGTTCGAAGCTCCAGAATGGCCCACGTAACAAACTCACAAAATGCCGGCCAACTATCTGGTTGACTGGATGCTCTCACCGAGGAAATCAGTTTTCTGAAATAGAATATTGATCTGGCTCCTCATGGTCTCGACATCCCCCGATTCAATTGCTCAACAAAATATGTATACTCTCCATGTTACCGATTTTAGTAGCTTTCCCAGTTTCTTGTGTATCTTGCATGCAATTCTGAAGCTCATTCATATGCAAATTATGCATGGGAATTTCGCATTGCAAGCCAGGTCAAAACACGATTGACGTTCACATCGGAAGATTCAGGGTCCATATTGGTGCAGCCCTAAGAAATATCCGACTTTGGGTTGATCGATTAGTGTGTCCGTCCCGTCCCGTATACCTAGCCGACTAGGACCCCCATTCCCCCTTTCTGACCTCCTCAAGGTAGTTCTCCAATAAGATGGATTGAGCAAGGAGTCATCCGTTCACTCCAAAATGATGCACCGAGTAGGAACGATGTGAAGCATGTCAAATGATGTCAGCCTTGCCCCATATTTATTTGTTCTACTCTCTTCGCACAGTCAAGAAGGGATCTAGAGTTTCAAAGGATTGCAGTTCCATTTGCAGAACGGGCACGGAATGTGAGTCATTTGCCGTATACTACCAAATGATAAAGCAATATTCTAGATCTGCATAGCACTAGATCCGTTTGTGCGCCACTCTTGAGAGATCTATATATATTAGCTAGCATGCCCGCCCTCGAAATTTCCGATATCATGTAGGGGAACTTGTGATGAGTGACGGATGAGTGATGTGTGAATGCAATTGATCAATCATATCTGTCCATTAGAAAGTTCTGCCTGTCTGTCTGATTGTTACGCGAAGGAAATCATGGGGAATTGAGAATGACGCTTTTCCTGATTCTGTTGGCCGAAAAGGCTGTGCTAGTCAATTATCGTGGGAACCAATTAAATGTACATTATAAGATCCACGTTGACTCGCCGGTACAAAATAGGTTTAGTTGGATGACAGGGAATCATTGGAGTCATTGCGACCTGCTTTGATTACTTTGAGTGAGATGAACCTCGAAAAAGTCATATTAGATACAGTTTTTTCCTTTCAGGCTTCCAAAACTTTTTGTCTTTTCCGTAAGATTCATCGATACTGATTCTGATTCTAAGTCCAACTCCAATTCCAATTGTTCATTCAATACTCCTCGTCGTTAATTCTCTTCTGTGAGTTCAACGGCAAGTAGAGTCACTCCGGAACGAATACCATTACCTACCCCTCTTACAAATCATCATCTAATCGATAAGGCTGTACGAGTAGTCAGTCAATTGATCAACAATGTCTACAGGAAATCAAATGCCGACCTTCAACACTTTCACAATTACTCAACCCTTCTTGGGCGCACCTCTTCAATTCCAGCCTGCTCTTGGATCAAAAGAGCTTGAGGAATTGATTGATGCTTACGTTATTGGAGATGCTTGTAAACAAGACAAGCTTTCCACCGTGACGATCGATTTCTATAACCATGCAACCGTCGATATTAACACCGGTTCCCTGGTCCGTCGATACGATGTTATGCCATGGACCGTTGGGCGAAGTCCTGCTCAATCACAATCTTCGGGATTGAGCCCACCAATCTTCACTCCTAGCCCTGCCTCCTCAGCTACCTTTGCCGACTCTACTTATAGCTCAACGAGCACCCCACCCAATCGTACCAGGGGGTCACGAGTTACAAAAAAGACAAAGAAGGATACCACCAAGAAGTCTGCAGAAGTCAGACTACCTGGCTTCTCGATCATGACTAAGGATGGTATCGATGTTACAAATTCCGCTGGCCGTGGAACTAAAACGAAAGAACAGAGAGAGCATGCACATCTGATGAGAATCATTAAAGCTTGCGATGAGTGCAAGCGAAAGAAGATCAGAGTGCGTAACTCAATTTTAGTCTTCGATCGAATCTTTACTGATTGAACTATAGTGTGATCCATCTCATAGACCTGTTTCTCATACAAACACGCCAAGAGCATCCGCGTCAAGCAGGCCTTCTCCTCCTTCACAATCAAACCCAAGTCCTGCTGCATCAACACCTTCATTATCTAGAGAAACCACACAAGGTTCTGAACAAAGCAGTCCCCCTGTTGATTCATTCTCAATTGAAGATTTTGTGCTTTTTCCAGAGGATGACCTCAACCAATGGAACCCAGAGATGGCTATCCCAGGCTTTGACACCCAATACAACGACTTCAGCATGACTAATTACGAGAACTTCCCTGATTTCGATACTGATTTCTCGACAATGAATGATAATATATCATTTGACTTCCCAGTATACGATCAATCTTCATCTTTTAGTCCTCAGCTATCAAACACCACTAGCCACATACTTAATTATCACAACACACAACCATTGAGCTCTGCAGACGTCAACTCGCAATACTTCTCTCAAACTCAACCACAGCCCGATCTAGATTTCTTCGAACCATTTAGCAATATACCGAACTTCTCGCCAACCCATACTCAACAAGCTCATCCACAAGGCTTACCAAATGAAGATCCTGGGAAGATTGATAGTTATGAACATGCTACAACTGCGAGATCTCAAAGCCACAACATCTCATCGGTATTGTCAACCGCAAACACCCACACCAGTGGTACAAATATCCTGAATGACTTCTCTACCACATTCGGCCTCTCCCCAACTGATAGTTCTTACCAATCACAAGGCTCAGAAAACGGCTTCGTGAGCACAGGCCCAGATAATGCATATGATTCTGCTACTGGCTCGGGTGTCGACTCGGGCATTGAACAATCACCACGATCTGAATCAAGTGATAGCGGCCATGAGACGTTATCCAGTACCGAGAAGGGACGCAGTCGCAGCCAACGCAGCAGACACCGAGCACTTTTAGAACGCGAGCGCGAACGCATTGATGATCATGGCCGCCAGCTTATGAAGGTTCTCCTATCCAACAATGGCAAGTCTCATGTTCCTGGTGCTACCACTGAACAGCCAGTTTTAAGCCCGAGCGTTTCACATGGCGGCGACGGCTTCGTAATGGCCGCAAACACTTTCAAGAGCTTCGCTTCTAGTAGTATACCCGTTCATGAAGAAACACCATGGAGCTTTGAATCTACACTCTCTTCATTGGCTAGATCTAGACCGGAAGTACCGCAAAATGCGATGGAAAGCGGCCGCGCCCAAGGCGTATCGTTCGTTGTGAAACCTCATGAAAACCCTGACGGCTTTGCAAGATGGAACAACTCGACGATTGTTGATGCCTCTCTAAGTCGTGCTGTACGACTAACTGGCAATCATATCTCGTCTCGCGATGCAAACTTTGCCTCGATCAGCTCGGATAGAAAGACACTAAGTGTCGGCACCGACCATGTACCTACACACCTAGCGGCAAGATCGGCATTGTCAAGTCTAAGATCCAAGGTCGCAGTAGAAAGCACGCCCATGATACCATCTAATGCAGTTTCTACCGGAAGTCTAGTTGTACCGAACCAAGCCGGCGTTGTTCCTTCTCCGCATTTTGTACTTGCGAAAAGGCTTTCAAAGGCATCATCTGGCTCTTCAACCAAGGTCAACAATGGCTCTCTGGAGTTCAGCGGCGTTGAGGCAATTGTTCAAAAGGTCAAGGGTGCTTCGGCTGGGCAGCTTTCAAGCCCAAGCTTGAGCCTCCAGACTTCGGTATACCCCCCCACGCTTTTCAAGAGCGGCGCAGAAGCAGTAAATACACCGGCGACAACCACGCTTGGCACGGCCTCAACCCTCGCAACACTAGCAGCACTTGGTCTTGCCACTACAGTGGCAGTATCCAGACATGCTGAGACAGCCGCGGTGGTATTGGCTATTTGCCTACTTGCGTCTGTGTGCTGTGATACTCGATCGGTCATTCCTGAGTCTGGAAAGGGTTTCATGAATATCTCGCTTGGTGCATTAATGTGGAACTTTTGGTCCGATATGATACTCAAGATAGATTGCGAACGTCAACGTGTAAGTTTTCCTGTGCCAAAATCTGTACTTTATCTATACCCTGGAGAATGTTTACTAATTTGTTCTTCATAGGTATTGAATGAAAAGAATAATGGATTGTTTGGTGCGGCTGGAGAGATGGCGAAGAAGTTTTCCTCGAGAATTTTAATCTAGATGTTAGCATTCGTGCTAGACATGATTCGAGATTTGAGGAGACGACACTTCGCCTTTTTTATGGACGTGTTGCTATTTGGTGAATGGTATATCGGTTGCGGCATGATGCTTTCTAGCATTACAGTTTTTTAAGATGAGATACAGGGAAAGACATCGGTGTGCAGAACTTGGTTGGGCGAGGTTTGAAAAGTACATTGGAGTATTGGTTTGTTTTCATGGCGCATAAATACGGCATGGCATATGTTGTTTTTAATAAAAGTATGTATGTATACGTAGGTATACCCTAGATGGCGATATAGAAATAACAGTTCTTCTGCCAATCTTTTAACGTCGTGGAAAGCTGATCTGTGTGATTCTGACTTTGAAGCTCTGTTCGGTGGATCAATCCTGCTTGGATCTTGATGTGATCGCTTCTGTATATGTTCCTCTCTTCCCCTCCATATCCCAATCATCTTATCTTTGCCTCGCGGGAACTCCAAATTAATTATTCTCTGTTATCTATCTCGATTTCGTTTCTTCCACCTTATCCATTTTTACTTTTATACCTCTCGTTTCATCTCAGCCCAGCTTATTACTCCATCTCATTCATACCCCATGAACCAAATAACGAAAACACAAACATAGACACAGACATAAACAAACAACTAAACGAATGAATGAATGAATACATCTACTACAATTCCAGAATACTCCAATCACACAAATGTAATTTTCGAGATTTATTATATTCACTGATACATAAGTAGAAGGTATACTCTATAGATACCTACTTAAGGATGATGTATGGGGAAGAAGGATAGTGATACAGTATAATATATACATGATGTATATGCAGATAATCTGAATTTGGAATTTGATTTTGAAATTCGGGATTCGAGAGGTAAATTAACGGATTGATGAAATACTGAATATTAAATATACACTACACTACACTACAATATATTCTCATTCCTCTCTATAGAAAAGAAATAGTAAAAAGAATATTTCTTTGTTCCAGGATATCAGAATATACATACATACCTAGATAGCCGTAGATAATCGTGTAAAGTATCAGTGGAGAGGAATACTAGAAGTGGTGTCCCTCCCTCCCTCCATCTCTCCCTAGCTGGACTGGGTGATCGATCGATTGAATAGAATATTTGTATTGTGGGGTATGAGATGTTTTTGTATTTATTAGAGAGTTTGAGTATATGAGTAGATGAGTAGTGAGGTACCTGGTGGATGGATCGGATACATCGACACCCGGATGGAGAATGGATGGGGTCTATAGGTGGTCTTCAGGTAGAAGGTGGGATGTTTTTCTACCCGGGGTGGGAGGGGATAAAAATTTGACATTGCAGATCTTTTTCTTCGACTTGTTATATAATTTCAAATCTTATTTCATTCCAATTCTCACTCTTTGTTGTATGGAGTCTTAGATCAGACTACGTAGGAATGTATGTATGCATGCAAATCTGTATGTTCCATCCATCCATCCATCCATCATCAATCATGCCCAACACGCAATTCATTTCTCATCCGCTGCTCACCTCCACCATTTCCCAGCAAATACCCCGGCGTTATCCAGAACGAGGAAGTATCAGAATACCAATGGATAAAATATACTTTCAGTTCCGAAAAGTTCGATCAAGTAAAAGAAATGAGTACCTTAAATACTTAATAATACAAATACAAATGACAAGTTGACCAAGCGGACCCATCCGTGAGTGCAAGCTCGCGACCCAAGTAAGCGAGTAGATACCACACCGTGGTTGTTAGTGTTTAGTGCCATTTCGCTCTAGTAATGGCGAGAGTAGGAAGTTGCCAGTACTGCAGCATCGAGCAAGACAATGAAGATTGATTGTAAAGAACAAGGGAGAAAAAAACAAACAAAGGTAATAGTAGTACGTAGGAAGGATGATCATTCAATCGCATGGAAGGTCTCCTTGAGACATTTGAAACTTTAGGCACGGCTGTTACAGTATAAGTCTCGTGTATATCAAAGGCGAGAAGATAAGATTTGACTTACAAATTCCCAGGTAGTCGGGAGATAGGTCGACGATGCATCTTGCGATATCGTCTAAGAGAGGACGAAGAACCATAGTTTGGTTTATGCAAACTATAGTCCAACGTATCAAGGAATCGTGTTGTACCCAGGGAACCAAATGAAAACCCAAGCACAAGCTTAACTAATCATTTATCGGTAAAGGAGTCTTTGAATAGCGTCCCGTTCTTTTTCAAATAATCTCAGCAAATGTCTTTTTTCTAATTGCGCATCGAAGAGCATGGGTAGGTAGCCTCACAAATAATCTCTCTCGAATTCCGCATCCAGATGAACGGGTACCCTGTCATGATCCTCAGAGTCATTCCTCTTATCTCTTTCTCTCTCCTTGTCCTTGTCTTCTGACTTGTTTGCTAATAATTGCAACAGCAATTTATTATTCTGTGAAACGATAAATTCAATTTTATCGACTTTACTTTCTAGTGCCCGTAGTCTTGAGTCGTTGCCCATTATATCGCGCCAGTCTTCTTTGCTCAATTGGCCTTCTACTACGACGCGTCGAGGTGGGGATGGAGGATGAGGAGCTGCGAGTCGATACTCTGGGGCGTAGGGGACCATTGGTTCTGGGTGAACTTGAGGTGGTAGATGGTGTTCGTTATTCGTAGTTCTTCTTCTTTTGTGAGGACGAAATCCATTCGCATCGCCAAACTCTCCATTTGGGGCTGATCGGTACACCATTTCTTGGCCAGGAGGAGGAGGAGGATGTTGAGGTTGATTTTGTCCCATATCTGCGATTGGCTGTGGGGGAGCTGGACCCGCGACAATTCGCACACCTGGGCTTTGGCTTTGCATTGAACTTTCCTGCGCAATCACTTGTTTCCTGGCTTCTTTCCTTGATTCCTCTACCCTTCTCCTCGCATCTACCTGTCGTTGCCTCTCGGCCTCTGCGTCCGAATCCTCCACCTTTAAAAATTCAATCCATTCATCTAATAACGTATTTAACTCTCCACCTGGCTTATCAGGAATAACACCATTTTCCCAGTCGCACACTTGTCTTCTACGAGCTTCTACCAATCGTGCGACAGTCGCGCTCATTTGCGCCAGAACTTTATTAGTAGACTCATGAAACTGTGCATTAACTCCATTCCAAAATTGACTCTTGGTTCCTTCCTTGAAATTGTGTTTTTGAGCGATACAAGCTTTCAATGCTTGAATTTGATCGCGCTCATCTAAATTCTGTCTGGGTTTGCGCGTCGCACTTCCACCTCCAATACTACTCGCGACGGAACTTTCTCTTAATTCTCTAGCTGGAGTCATCAAACTTCGTGGGATACTAGGAGGATGCATGCGCGCTTCACTGCTTGGAGTTGTCATAGTGGGAGTTTGATTTTGTGGTTGTGTTGAAGCTGGGGTTGAAATATTGGGCGATGGACGCGAATTTGCTGGGGTGGATGGAGGTAGAATGGGAGCGGGATGTGGCGCGGAAGATAGCGATTGTCGGGAAGAAGCGTTTTGCGCCATTGCTGGAACGAGCTTGAATGTGTGAAACGCTGATGGCATAGGTGAGTTGAAGTTGAAGTTGGATCAATACCTGAAGATGTGGGAGAAGATTTTAGATTTGGTGCAGGGCAGGGTGCGAATTTGAAGCCAGAGCGGATTCATGGTTCGAGATGAGGCTAATTTTAGAAACTAGTCTCGATAGGGACTAGCTTACCTGCTACAGTTTGATCAATTGCAACCGGTGGTAAACGAGCCGTAAGGACCATTATTGCTTATTTTGGCCAAAACTATTGATTACTTGGTTCAAGGTCTGGGAAAATTCCGCAAATAAATCTGTAATTTATGAAGTATCAAAGAAATAGTTATTAACGTTGAAAGAGTGGTCCCTTTGCTTAATTTATTTACCTCTTTCGCCCCCTCGCAGTTACTTTTAGCTTCCTAATTCACTATATTCAAGGAAAACTCTCGCTTTTCCGAACAATATCAATGACACTACCCCCTTCAAATCTTAAATAATGAAATGAAACATTTCATATTTGTAAATTCTATACGATTTCACTATATTACAAATCATCTATTAGACAAACATCGGTAATAGGCTAGAGATGTCAAAGAACTGTGCTAATGCTGATCATTTCCTCCCCTCAAATTCTAAATATGATACTTAAAATCCAACTCTCCATCCCCAGTCTTTACTTGCCTCGTATCCTCAATCTCTCCCTTTTCAATCTTCTCCTTCATTCTATTCTGACTCTTCACATACCAAATCTTTACTACAATCAATACTTGAGCAAGACACAACGCTCCCAAGGAGAAACTATTTCCAAGAACATAAGGAGAGGTTCGATATATCTGGCCTGCTACTATTCCGGCCGTGTTGGCAATAGATTGCTGAACACCGATTGCTGTTGCACGCCTGTAATGTGGTGCTACGTTGACGTTTAGCCAGGTTATATTGAGTCCAGGACCTGTATAGACGGCGATAGCACAGAGGAAGGTTGCGAAGAATTTTACCCCTGAGATAGTGGTTAGTTTTTCGCTGATAAATATTCTGAGAAGTGTAATCTACCTTCAGCCTTCACTGTGAGCAGTAAAATATATCCAACTATTCCAAAGATGTTGGCGAAAAATAAAATCTAGAATTTTGGTCAATCTTCTCCTTGACTCGAAAATCCGAGATTGACTTACAGGTCCACGCATACTGATCTTGTCCGATACCCAAGCCAAGAACAAGAAACTAATCGCACCCCACATATACACTGGTATAGTAAGATAGTTTGCTTGAAGTGTGTCGTAGTTCATTGCTTTTAAGATAGAGGGTAAGAATGTGCTAAATCCATACAGCAAGCAGTCTTGCATGAATTGTATGGCAGCACTTGAATTCTGGTTAGCCCAAAGCTTTGTTAGACTTAGAACTTTTGTACGTACCTGATATAAAGCTTGGGATCTTTAAGCTCGATTCGGAATTCTTCCCATGAGAACTTTTCGGAGCCTACATATAACGATGAGCTGAGAATCC